CTTCTTTTGTTTCCCCCTAAAAAGTCTAGCATAGGTTCTCCTTATCCATGTGTCTATGCGTCACATTTCTTACCTTATTCATAAATGAGCATCTCTTTCTTACATTCGATCATGTGATTAAAAGAAAAAAAAATCAATTATCGAACTAAACACAAGGTACACCAACGATTTCAGGCACCTTTGCAACCCTGTCATTCCCTGTTAACCGTTCAATCACATTCCATTTCTTCATCAACCACTTTGAGCCTCATCTAACGTTTGACCTTCATTTCTTCAGCCCACATTCACTTAACCCTGGGATTGGAAGATGTGTAATTGTATAACATTCAAAAAGCAAGAAAAAAAAAAACAGCAAAGCAACAATAAAACAATGTCTAAAGGCAAGTGTTCCAATGTCTTTGATATGGACACGTCTCAAATTGCGTCTCTCATCGAGTGCTTGGTACCGTGCCTGAGAAAAATGAATGCTAAGTGAGTGATGGACCGCATGATCTGAGATTTCCTACATTGATTCAAAAGAATGAAAAAAAAAGAAATTCAAAACAAAAAAATGTTGAAAATAAAACTTGCAAAGTCCAATTCACAATTACACGTCTTAGGGTTTCTCTCGGGTCTTGAGCCTTTTACCCCTTTCTTCCTTAAACCATCAGCTTAACCACATTACAACCCTTGAAATACCTCTTTGAGGTGTACATACACTTGTGCAAAGTTTGGTTAGAGCTACGTTGGCCGTATTCCTAACGGATACGTAGGCAAGCTCACATCGAGGTGCGGCCACATTCATATCCATGCATGATCGAGTCAAAGAATATCCAATGCTTACCCCTACCCATTTAGAGCTAGACTTGGGGGCTTGATCCCACATAATTTAGCCTACCTAGCCTAAAGAGTCATCATCTTTGACTCTTCTCACATTTCTTTCCATCGCCATAACCCTTGCAGCCAGCCTTAGTATCACATTCACACACTTCACTCACACATCAATATCCGTATCAATCATCTTTCCCTTTAAGAACCCTTTTTCATGAAATCTTGTTTCAACACTATGCATGTTTAATCATATTTAAAGACAACATTTAGTAGAAGAAACATTGTATACTTGCTTAGCTTCCTGACCTGAGCAATGTTCATTGTTTCGCATAATGTGCTAAGAAACATTTATATATCAATGATTTTTAATCATACAAAGCATATCGTGCTTAGCTCCTTGACCTAAGCAACGTTCATTATGCAATAATCACTTCATCTTTATACGTGCTTAGCTTCCAGACCTAAGTGACGTTCAAGATCGCTTCTTTACACCATATATGATGCTTAGCTCCATGACTTAAGTTCATTCATCTATCGTGTCACATGATGTAATTGTCCTTAGCCTCCTGGCCTAAGAATATGCATCATGCATACATTATTTTCAGGACAAGCAATTCAATCCATACGATTCATTTCGTCTTGCTCAAGGAGGAAGTTCAAAACTTCTTTCCTTTTTCATTATTTTATTTTGGGGAAGTTCAAAAACTTTTTCCAAGTTTTTATCGAGGGAAGTTCGAAAATAAATTTTCATTTTCACGTCTTTATTTTTCGGGAGAAATTCGGTACCCTCCACTCGTCTCATGACAAAAATGATGGAAATTTTTTTTCTTTTGCATTTTCGGTTGCTTGTGTCTGCACACACACACACTCAAACTATACACACACAATCACAAGTCATACTCATGTCATGTCATGTCGTGTCAAGTCAAACTTGGTCAAGTCAGTTGGTCAAGTCAATCATAGTCTATACGAGTCCCCGTCCGGGGACAAGCGGACCATCTACATCCCACGTCCGGGGACAAGCGGACCATCTACAGCCCACGTCCGGGGACAAGCGGACCATCTGCATTCGGGGACAATTGAACCACCATCATTTCACAGTGCAAGGTTCTCGATACACAAAGACTTGCAATCTCATCATCTGTCGGCTTTCCTCAGGCTTGGAAAGCGTTATCGATGGATTTTTCTTCAAGTATAGAAAACCGCCAAGTCGGCTTTCCGCAAGCATGGAAAGCATCATCGGTGGATTTCTTCAAGCATAGAATGACACCAAATTCATACGTCGACTTTCCTCAAGAATGGAAAGTATTATCCGGTAGGTTTCTTCAGGCTTAGAAAACTACCAAACTCCTCAGTCGGCTTTCCTCAGACATGGAAAGCGTTTCAACAGACGTCATCTGGTGGATTCCTTCAAGCATAGGAAGCTACCAAGCTCATTTTCCACCAATACACCGGTGTTAGATAATCATTCTATCCCTTTGCTCTTTTATCTGTAGAACTAACATTTTTCTGCAGGTATCGGCGTACACAGAATGATTTAGGATCGCAGAACGTCTTAAATCATTCTCTGTCCCTATCGACTACTTTGACTATCGTTTTCGAAACTGACGTTTCTACAAACTCAGTCATAGTGGGGGCTTCTGTAGACACCTAAAAATGTTTCCCCAAAACCAAACCCGTTGATGAACACCTTTCACCTTCAATTTTGGGCGAGCTGAGTATTTAATCTTTGGAGTGCTTAAATACATGTTCTATCCAATATATTTCATGAACCAATCCAATTTCTAGCTCATTTCCCTAAACCATAACCTATTTTCCACTTTTCGTGTCCACATCGCAAAACTGAGAGAAACTGATTTATGGATATAAAATTTTGATCCAATTATTATTTTTTTGGATAGGCCTTTAAATAAGCTTTCCAACCATATATCATAAGCCCAATTCCGAGCTATAACGAAAAAGATATGAGCAAAACACTAAAATCGGCCTAAAACCGACACCTTTCCACTAAAATGGCCATATCATAAAATATTTATATAATTTTGACTTTATTTTAATTAGTTTAGAAATTAGACTTGATAAGCTTTCCAATTATTTATTATATGCCTTATTCCGAGTTACGGATCAAAAGTTATGATTATTTTAAAAACGGGTAAAAAACTGAAATTACCGCGCAGCAACAAAAATGCCGCGACGCGGCAAAAGCTGACATGTCACGGGACTTATTCCCGCACAAAGGCATTTCTTTCCGTGTCACGGTGCACATCCCGTGCCACGGGATTGCTCCATGTTTTCTCCGCGTAATCCCTTGATGCGTGGCATTTATGCCACCATTTTAACCCCTTTTTACTACCGATTTCCCCCGGATTTGTCACTTGCTTATGCCTATTTTAACCCCTTTTATCTTGATTTTAGTCACTTTAGCCCCCTCTCGTATTTTTCCTCCCCTTTTTGTCTTTTCTTCTAGTTTTTACCTCCTTTTCATGTGTTTTGACAGCTCCCAGCGCTTATGTGCGATTCACGAATCAATAGCTCGAGTGGAGATGCCAAAGGAGCTTGGCAAAGGAGTGGAGATGCCAGGATGGAGAGGGCGCGCTGTTCTTATGGGCCGCGGGCGCGGGCTTGTAAGCCGCGGGCGCGGACAGGAAAAGTCTGAAGCCAGCAGAAGAAAGTAAAGATGGCGAGCCGCGGGCGCGGTGCATATGTGCCGCGGGCGCGGCAAAGAAGCCCAGCGGGCGCGGCACTTAGGCCCGCGGGCGCGGCTTTATGGGTTTTACGAGGCTATTTACCCAGCTTGGAGAGGGCGCGGCTGCCTGTTCGGAGAGCCCTCTCCCTTGCCCTTTTTCTTCCTTTTGGTAGAAGACTATAAATAGTCCCTTGCTTGATTTTCTTAGCATCCACTATTCCATTGGCCCCAAAAATCATTGGTAGAGAGAGAAGTTCATGGTTTCTAGAGAGAGAAAACACTAGTGTTCAAGATTCAGTCTTTGTAACCAAATATTCAAGCTTTCTTCTAGATTGTTGCTACTACTTTGATGATTTGGTTATCTTTAATCTTTATAATATCAATCTTTACTTTTGTTTCTCTAGTTTTTGATCTTCTTTGTTTTATTGCTCTTACTTGAGTTTATTTCCATAAATATTCAAGCTTTATTAGTTTCTTTGATTTTCCTTTCAAGTTAGAATCATGTTAGGTTGTGTTGGTATTGAATACATGCTTATGTTAGTTTTTATGGCCATTCCCTTCCTTCTAGCTTAGGTTTTTAGCTAGGGAAGGGGGTGAAAATCATGTGTATTTGAATATCTATTGATTATTGATTGGGATTTATTCTTGAGTTGATGATTTGAGCTATAATATGCTTGGAGTTAGTGTGTGCACCTCTAATCCCAAGAATCTAGCCCTTGATTGAATGCACGAGAATGATTTAATCTAGGTGTGAATGATTTCGTCGACTTGCTTAAGTAGTTGCATGAGAATGAACTATTTTAGGTAGAGTTTATACTCCTAGAATCGGTTTCCTTTCGGTTTTCACTAGTACTCTTTGTTCATGATTGAATCCCCCTTTCCCTAGTGCTTTTATCATTGTTATCTCTATAATCTTGTCCATTTATTTGCTTTTAAAAGTGTTTAATCTATTTCCCTTATTTCTAGTTTATTCTAGGCTCAATAGTAGTTAGTTTGTCCATAGAATTCTTCAACACAAATTCAAATACCACCTTTTGTTATTAGCAATTTCTCCTCGATTTCGTATTAATTGTGTTAAACCCCCGTTTCCTTGGGAATCGACCCTACCTTACCGCTATCTAAAGCAAAATTTGATAGAGCTAGGATAGGATTTATAAATTGTAATTTTGATCTAGGATAATAAACTAACGACCTATTGTCCACCGATCAAAAATTTTGGCGCCGTTGCCGGGGAAACGGCTAGTTTTGCACACTTATTTGCGTAATTTTGGATTTTGTTGCTTTTTGTTTAGTTCCTTTTCCACTTGCTAGTCATTGCTAATTGTTTGTTTAGCTTTGGTGAATGCAAAGAAGATCTCAAGGACCACCTACTCACAACCTTGATCACGAAATCGACCGAACCTTGAGACAAGTCCGTAGACTCTATCAAGAAGAGGGAAGAGGTTTTGGTGCAATTTTTGATAGTGAAAGTGATTCTTGTTCCTCACATTCCCAAGGTGACGAAATGGCGGGACAACAATTGGATGTATTATTCCGTGAGTTCGGTAATCCAGAGGATTATGAGCTCACCGGTGGGATATTGTTATCCGTCACTGAGACTAACTTCACCATCCATTCTCAATATACAAGAATGGTTCAAGCGGAGCAATTCTCGGGTTCGCCAAGTGAAGACCCCATTGAGCACCTTGATAGGTTCCTCGAACTCTGTGCCATGATACAAACCAACCAAGTTTCTCAAGAATACATCCGGATGCACCTATTTCGACAATCTCTTGCGGGGAGAGCAAAGAAGTGGCTCAAGCAAGTCAAGCCTAATTCTCTCACGACATGGAGGGAAATTGTGCAAGCATTCTTGAAGAGATTCATCTCCGAGGAGAAAACCTCCGAGATGAGGAGGAAGATAGCATCTTTTGAACAAGAGGCGGAGGAGAGTCTTAGTGAAGCTTGGGAGAGGTTTAAGGAGTTGGTGCAAGCATGTCCTCACCATGAGTACAATCAAAGCTTACTCATGAGGTTCTTCTATGATGGTTTGGAACCGATGTCCCGAGCTAATTTGGATGCGGGAGCGGGTGGACAATTGATCAAAGTCCCTCAAAATCAAGTTGAAGCAACGATCGAAGAGGTAGTTAAAAATTACTCTTGGGGAGGAAGAAGGAGGAATGCACCAAAGAAAGGTGGGAAGTATGAGTTGGAGAAGGTCGATCAATTGCAACATCAAATTGAGATGTTGACAAAAGGGCTTGCCAAGTTGAATACAAGTGTTGCTAGTGGTTCAAGCTCCTCCCAAGTCAACTCTTTCTCTTGTCAAAATTGTGGTGGCACCAACCATGATACATCCTATTGTGGCGGGTTGAGCCCGGAGCATGTAGCGGCATACAACACAAGGCAAGAAAGGTATAGGGGAAATGGTGGAGGAGTAGCTTGGAGACAACCACCACCCGGATTTGCAAACCAACCTCAACAATGGAATCAACAGGCTCAACAACCATACAATTCCAACACCCAATATCAAAACCCTCCTCCATTCCAAACCCAAAATCAAAGAGGAAACTACCCAAGAAACAACCAAAGCAATAATCAACACCAATACCAAAATCAAACCCAAGCAACTTAAAGAAGTCAAGAGCAAGCATCTCAACCCGATTCTACTCAAACTCAAATTCTTCAACAACTTCAAGCCATGAATCAACAAATGCAAGAAGTCAAGGCTCATAACAAGATGGTTGATTCACAACTAGCACAATTGGCCGAGAGAGTTTCTTTTAACTCATCTTCCACTTTGCCCGGACAATCACAAACCAACCCTTCCAATATTGTAAAACCCGACTCTTGCAAGGCAATCACATTGAGATCGGGTACATCTTATGAGAGTCCCAAGGAAGAAGATGGTAAGGAAAAGGAGGGAGAAGAAGAGATGAGTGATGATAAGAAAGTTGAAGAAGAGAAGGTTGATGAGAAAGAGAAGAGTATGGAGAAAAAGAAGACTAAGGATGTGGTGACATCCTCAACTTCTAGTGAGGCTAGAAACCTTGATGGACCGGTTCCTTTTCCCGGTTGGCTTGCGGAGAGAAAATTGAACGATAAATTTGCAAGGTTTCTAAGTGTGATGAAAAACTTACACATTAACCTCCCTTTCATTGAAGTTGTCACACAAATGCCTTCATACTCCAAGTTCTTGAAAGACATTCTCACCAAAAAAAGGAAGCTCAATGATGAGCTTATCACTCTTCCCCATCAAGTGAGTGCACTTGTTCAACACAAAATGCCCAAGAAGCAAAAGGACCCGGGAAGCTTTACCTTGCCGGTAAAAATTGGGAACATGGAAGCTAGGGGTGCCCTAGCCGACCTCGGAGCAAGTGTTAGTTTAATCCCTCTATCCATTGCTCAAAAGCTTAACATTGAGATGATCCCCACTAGGAAAACCATTCAACTGGCCGATTGATCGATGAAGCTACCTTGTGGCGAGCTTGAAGATGTCCCTATTCAAGTTGGACATATCTATGTGCCATGTGACTTTGTGGTGATGGATATGGAAGAAGATGTGGATACACCTTTGACTTGGGCCGTGAAGCTCTTAAAACTTTGGGGGCGGTAATCAATTGCAAAAATAATACCATTACATGTGAAGTGGCCGATGAAAAAATTGTCTTTGAATTCTCTAAGCTACTCAAAACCCCCATGGTTGAGAAGTGTTATAGGGTCGATGTTGTCAATGAAGAGCTAGATCATTTGGGAAGGGTTGTCATGAGTCCTAAAGATCCTATGGCCGAAGCTCTCACATGTGAGGAAGATTACTTCTCCCAAGAAGCAAAGGAATTTTCTATGGCCATTGAAGAGCCAAAAAGGAAGAAGAGAACGGTACTAAGCATGATGAGCTTGAGCATAAGGAGGAAAAATTGGAGGAGAGTTCTAAGCCTCCTCCCAAGGTAGAACTCAAACCCCTTCCCCCTTCTTTGAAATATGCTTATCTTGGAAATGAAGGAGAATACCCCATTATTGTCAATGCTTCCCTTAATGGTATTGATTTGGAAAAATTGATTGTTGTTTTGAGAAAATATAGAAATTTGATAGGGTATAGCATTGACGATATTAAGGGTATTAGCCCTTCTTTATGTATGCATCGTATTCACCTTGAGGATGATCAATCCACCTCCATTGAACCTCAAAGGAGGTTAAACCCCAACCTCCAAGAGGTAGTTAAGAAGGAAATTTTGAAATTGCGTGAGGCGGGTATAATCTATGCTATCTCCGATAGCAAGTGGGTTAGCCCGGTTCACGTGGTCCCCAAAAAGGGTGGAATGACCATTGTCAAGGGAGAAGGAGGAGAGGAAATCTCCACCCGGACGGTCACCGGGTGGAGGATATGCATTGATTATAGGAAGTTGAACAAGAACACTAAGAAAGATCATTTTCCTCTCCCCTTCATGGATCAAATGTTGGAAAGACTCTCCCATCATGCTTTCTTTTGCTTTTTGGATGGATACTCCGGCTTTTTCCAAATCCCTATCCATCCAAATGATCAAGAGAAAACTACTTTTACGTGTCCATATGGGACATTTGCGTACCGAAGAATGCCATTCGGGTTATGCAATGCTCCCTCAACTTTCCAACGATGCATGACTTCCATTTTTTCTGAAATGCTTGAGAATGAAATTGAAGTTTTTATGGATGATTTTAGTGTTGGTGGATCGTCTTTTGACACATGCCTTATTAACCTTGAAAAAGTTTTGAAAAGGTGTCAAGAGACGAGTTTAGTGTTGAATTGGGAAAAATGCCATTTTATGGTCAAGGAAGGTATTGTCCTAGGCCATAAAGTATCAAAAAAGGGAATTGAAGTAGACTCGGCTAAGGTTTCGGTGATTGCTAAGTTGCCCCCTCCTACCTCCGTCACGGGAGTGAGAGCTTTTCTTGGGCATGCCGGTTTTTACCGGAGGTTTATCAAAAAAATTTCATCTATCGCCAAACCCTTAACCGAGTTACTCAAAAAGGATGTTGTGTTCAATTTTGATGAGGGTTGCCTTGAGGCATTTCAAAAGCTCAAGGAAGCCCTCATCTCTTCTCCTGTGGTGCAAGCTCCGGATTGGAGCTTGCCTTTTGAGCTAATGTGCGATGCAAGTGATTTTGCTGTAGGTGCCGTGCTTGGGAAAAAGAAAGAAGGAAGATCTTGTGTCATCTACTACGCAAGTAGAACCCTCGACGAAGCTCAAAAGAATTATACCACAACGGAGAAGGAAATGCTAGCGGTTGTCTTTGCCATGGATAAGTTCCGGTCTTACCTTATATGCTCAAAGGTGATAGTCTACACGGATCACATCGCGGTCCGCTACCTTATGACCTAAAAGGAAGCAAAACCGCGTCTCATTCGTTGGGTTCTTTATCTCCAAGACTTTGACATGGAGATGAGGGACAAAAAGGGGGCGGAAAATTATGTAGCGGACCATCTATCGAGACTTCCTTTTGAGAATAAAGAAGACGTGCCTATCAATGAAGAATTGGGTATTGAGGCTCTTATGGCCATTGCATCAACACCAAGCCCTTGGTATGTGGACATTGCCAATTACTTAGCACGTGGTGTCGTTCCCCCGGATTTCTCCTCTCAACAAAAGAAAAGGTTTTTCAAAGAAGTGAGGAGGTATTTTTGGAACGATCCTTATCTATTCAAGCAATGTGGAGATGGGCTTTTTAGAAAATGTGTTCCGGATCATGAGATCTAAGGGGTGCTTGAGCTTGTCATTCATTGCCATGTGGTGGGCATGGAGGAGTAGAAAAGACCGTGGCTAAAATTTCTCAATCTCTTCTTTGGTGGCCAACAATGCACAAGGATGCCCACAAATTCATATCTAGATGTGATAAGTGCCAAAGAAGTGGGGGCATAACCAAGCGTGATGAAATGCCTCAACAAAATATTTTGGAGGTTGAACCCTTTGATGTATGGGGGGTCGACTTTATGGGGCCTTTCGTTTCTTCTTGTGGCAATCTCTATATATTGGTGGTGGTGGACTACGTGACCAAGTGGATCGAAGCTATACCCTCGCCCACCAATGACCACAAGGTTGTGCTCAAGCTTCTAAAAAAGATCATCTTCCCAAGATTCGGGGTCCCAAGAGTTCTTATTAGCGATGGTGGTTCTCACTTCGCCAAGAAACAACTTGAAGCTCTCCTCAAACTCTATGGGGTTCATCATAAAATCGGCCTACCATACCACCCCCAAACTCAAGGACAAGTGGAAGTATCAAATAGGGAGATCAAGAACCTTCTTGAGAGGATGGTGAACAAGTCTAGAAAAGATTGGTCTCTCAAACTTGATGATACGCTTTGGGCTCTAAGGATGGCTTACAAGACCCCGATTGGTACTACTCCTTACCGATTGGTCTATGGAAAGGCTTGTCATTTGCCGGTCGAGTTAGAGTACAAAGCTTGGTGGGCGATCAAAGGGCTCAATATGGATATGACCTTGGCGGGCAAAAAGAGGCTACTTAAGCTCAATGAACTTGAGGAGCTCCGCTATGATGCCTATGAGAACTCGAAACTCTACAAGGAGAGAACCAAGAGGTGGCACGACCAACATATAAGGAACAAGAGCTTTAAGGTTGGGGACAAGGTTTTGTTATTCAATTCTAGGCTCCGTTTGTTCCCCGGAAAACTTAAGTCTAAATGGTCGGGGCCTTTCACAATTTCAAAAACAACTCCTTATGGGTCCTTTGAGTTAGAAGCGAATGGGAACAAGTTCATGGTCAACGGCCACCGTTTAAAGCTCTACCATTGCAATGATCAAATTGGCATGATTGAGTGCATGAGGCTCGATCCGCCGGATCCTAAGTCACTTTCTTGATGATAATGTGAAATGGTCAAGCTAATGACCTTATAAAGAAGCGCTTTTCGGGAGGCAACCCGAATTCTCAACCCTTTTTGATTTTGTGTCTTTGGGTGCATGATCTATTAAGTTGGGTTTGGAGAAGAGAAGGAGTTTGGAGAAATAGGAAGTGGAGATGCCCAGAGAGGACCCTGGAGAGGGCGCGCACAGGCCACCCGCGGGCGCGGCCCATAGGCCCGCGGGCGCGGCCCATAGGCCCGCGGGCGCGGCCCATAGGCCCGCGGGCACGACAAGCCCCTCCCCTGTTTTCAAGATAAAGCGGAGATGCCTGGGTCATAACTGGAGAGGGCGCGCACAGAAGGCCCCGCGGGCGCGGCAGGGGTTTTCAGTTTTTTTCCACATAAAATGGAGATGGCTCAGGGATAAAGAGAGCGGGCGCGGGCAGAGTTAGCCGCGGGCGCGGCGTGCTCCACCGCGGGCGCGGACAGGCACCGCCGCGGGCGCGCAGTTCCACCCTGCGGGCGCGGCATCCTGCAGTCCAGAAAAACAGAAACCTGAAACCCTAAAGCCGCGGGCGCGGCTTACGATCCCGCGGGCGCGGTCAGAGTATGCCGCGGGCGCGGCCCTTCAGGGCTGCGACTTCTCCTTTAATTTTCAGCCATATGCCCGAAAACACAATCAGTTTTTTTTCCCCTTTTCTCTCTCTACTCCTTACTCCATTCCAAACCCTAACCCATTCCTCTTAAATTTCTCAATTCATCAAATTCCATCAAATTTCAACAATTCCCTCACTCTTTTACAATTTTTCTCACCAAAAATCTGAAATTTCATCCTTTAAAACCCCCAATTTCGGTATTCCTCTTTGTGTGGCAATTTCTTTCACCATTGGAGGGTTCTTGGAGGAAGTCTTGATTTCTTCTTCAAGGGGATAGTAGGAGCAATTATTGGTATCCATTTTGGTATACATTTCTTCCTTACTCTCATTTACCTTTGAATTTGAAACATGCTTTTGGTTGAGAAATTGTATGTTTATGAATTTTCATGTTGAAATTTTTGATTGGTGCATGCCTATATTGTATTCAATCATCATCTTAAGCATTATTAATTGTTGAGTTGTTGTTTGTGTTAGTTTGTTCCTTGTCATAGATTGCTTGCTTGTGGTTTGAACTTGGTGATTCTTGGTTTTGGAGATTGTTGTAGTGTGATTATTGTGAGTGATTGTTTTGGAATTGGACTGCAATTTGATATTGGTGACAATGGTTTTCGGTTCTAAGAAGAGAAAAAGTGGGAAGGAACTCCAAGGTTCATCCTCTTCCAACCCCCAACAAAATGAACCTACACCCCAAACCGCTCCACCACCTTTACCACCCCTCAAATTCCATAACAAAAACCACAAACCCATCTATGACAACCTCCTAAACAGAAAATTGAGACCAACCGAGCATTACCATCACTCCACCACAACCAAGCTTGGTATCGATGAGGATTGTTGGTTCTTGTTCAACAACCTCGGACTCGGTTCCTTTGTGTCAAGTGCCTATCGAACCTACAAAGAGCCTACCCTAGAGTTTCTTGCTTCCTTCGAAACTCATGCCGCAGGAGATAATGATCTCTCCATCTCCTTCCAA